GGGAATTCTGGGAGTTGAAGTCCACTCATCTTAAAGTGGCCAAGTTTGGACAACAGTGGTCTAAGCTGACTGGGTCTGTCTGGGTCTAAGCTGGCTGAAGGAAAACCTCTTTGGGCTGATGAACTTGAGAAGAATTCAGTTCAGGTTACGTTGTCCAATCTAACCTGAATGTCCAATGTGCTGTTGCAGGTCCTGCCATCACTGCCCCTCCATCCTCTTCTGTAAAAATGAATTTATTACTCTTGCTTGCCCCCTCCCTTGCAACATTAAAATGGTCAAGAGTCAGTAGCTGCCTGTTTGACATTTCACAAGGTTGCGATAGATAGATAGATAGATAGATAGATAGATAGATAGATAGATAGATAGATAGACAGAATTGTTGAAATGGTCAATTGCTTACAAAAATACAAAAAAGATCCCTGAATTGATTTGTTGGGGGTAAGGGCCTGTGTGCCAGCAATTCATTTAATAAAGCTATTTTAAAAAGCTGGGGGATCCTGATGTACGGGAACCACGAAATGGGGTAAGGAGCCGTTCTAGGCGCTCGGTGCAGCAACCAGTGAATTGGGGTTATCCCACAACAGAGAAAGCCAAAACAAACAGGAGTGTTTGAGGCAATTTGAGCAGATATTTGTACCTTCAAAGTGGAGCAGGAAAATGGGCCAAGTGGTTGCATTTGAGGTGGGTGGGGATAACTCCCTGTGAGACCCTGGGCTAGTCCCCCTCTCAGCCCCAGAGCCAGGGTGGGATGATGGGAAAGGGGCTGGACTAGGAGTGGGGAAATGCAGGTTCTGGTCCCCCTTCAGCCATGAAAGCTCTCTAGGGCACTCTGGAGCAGTCTTCTCTCAGTCAGGCCTACCTCCCAGGAGTGTTGTAAGGGTCAAATTAAGTGAACTTCTCATCTGATTGCTCTTTCTCACTCTGCAGTGGGGAAGGGGCTGGACAGAGGGGGGTGATCCAGGTTCTGGTCTCCCCTCTGCCATACCACCTCTCTGGAGGACCCTAGGCCAGTCCCTCTCTCACATAGGGGAGGAAATGGGGGGGGGGGAAATGGGAGGAGGAAATGCTCTGTACGCCACCTTAAACTTCTGAAAAAGAGGCAGGAGCTACACCTTTTAATAAATAAATAACGCTTAGAGGAACAGTCATCCAGCTGAAAAAACAGATGCAAAGTAAGTTAAGTTGCCTCCCTGCCCGATGGTGTCCCCCCTCAAAGTCTTCTGAGCATCTTTAGTTGAGAGAAGGTGCCTTTAGCTCCTCTTTGGGTGGGAGTCACACAACATACTAGACTAGGTTCAAATAGAGTTGAGTAATTCAGGGTTCGGTGTGTGTCAGCTGCTCAGCTGCTTCCTCGGCGTGTTATTTCAAAAGGGTCATCACATAAGCTATAATGTGATTTTTTGATTTTTTTTTTTTTGCTCAGGCAGATCATGTTAAGGGAATGCAGCTGTCATCTTTTGCTAACTTGGGTTTAGAGTTGTTTCCTGCAACGTGTGAATCGGGTCTGGGTTTTTCACTTGTCTGCAGGCAAAGGAGCTGGGAACCAGCTGGAGTTAGGTGGCATAATTCTGTCCTCTGTCGCAAGGGTCAATCAAAGCCTGTTTTGGATTCGGCAGGACTTGACATCCCTGCTTTTCTCGCCCATCCTTGTTGGGAAGAAAAGGCGTTCCAACAATGCCGTTGGAAATGACCTCGCAGGACAGGTCAAACGTGGCCACGTCACGGTCTGAGCTGGATCACAAGGTGGAGAAGAAATCAGAGAAGAAGGCCTGCCTAGAAGCCAATCGAGCCCCTTGTCCTCTCCAGCGCTCAAGTGGCAAAGAAGGTGGTGGGATGGGGGCGCAGAAAGCCCCGACCAAGGATACGTCCAGTTCTGATGTCCAGCGAGAACACTTCCGGCAGCTTGGCTATCAGGGTGCGAAGGGTCCCCGAGAGGTTTGCAGCCAGCTCCATGATCTTTGCCATCAGTGGCTGAAGCCAGAGAAGCATTCCAAAGCTGAGATGTTGGACCTGGTGATCCTAGAGCAGTTCTTGGCTGTCCTGCCCCCGGAGATGAAGAACTGGGTCCGAGAATGTGGGGCAGAGACCAGTTCCCAGGCGGTGGCCCTGGCCGAGGGCTTCCTGCTGAGCCAGGCGGAGGAGCAGAGGCAGCAGGTGAGAACAGGGCCTGGAGATGGCTCACTTGAGCTTCCCTCGGCCACTTTCTGTTCACAGCATCTTGTGCCCATCTTATTTATTTATTTACTTACTTATTTACGGTCCTATGAAGCCAATGGCCCATTTCACTTATTTATCTTATTCGTTCATTCATTCATTCATTCATTCATTCATTCATTCATGGCCCTATGGAACCAATGGCCCCATTAATTAATTAATTAATTAATTAATTAATTAATTAATGGCCCCATGAAGCCGATGGTCTATTGAACTTCTTTATTTGTATAACCTATCCCCTTCTCTTCTGCTCATTTACCAATGAAAAATACTGAGATTACTCCATCCTTCAAAAAGTGTCTTGCTGCGGAAGAGAAAATCATTCTCATTCTAGTAAAGGACCAATACAGGCCTTTCCTGGGTTTTACACGCCCTGACTTAGGTAAACCCAACATTATTACCAGGGTTGCAAAACGGGCTGGCAGGTTTCTGCAGGCAGTCTGACCTTTGTAAAAACTGTCATGTTAGGAGTCCGGGAACAAACCCCCTGCATAATCCTTGGACTGCCCGTATTATTATACAAATTAGAATATTAATGGGGAATATTCTACCCAAATTATTTTTTTCCTGTGCTGTTCCTCTTCTGATCTTTCTCTTTGGTCTTTGGGGCTTCTTGTTTTCTCTTTGGAGGACCGAGTTGTGGAAGAAACTACCAACTTCCCCAGGATAGAAAAAAATCCATCCGTCCCTCATCCAAAGCCGTTGTTAAGGCGGATCAAGCAAGAAATTGACAAGGTTGCTACTACGCTAGGTACGCGCTGGTGGGCCATTTTTCAGGCTTATCTTTTGCTGGCAGGCATGACTAAACTATATAAACTGCTTTAATGTTCTGAGCCAGTGCAGATATAAATCTGAGTTAGGCAGCTATTCAGAATTTTGGGCATGTCTTGTGAGCGCTCTCACAAAATGGCTGTCACAGCGGGGTAGTCATAAACATAAAAAGCTATCAAGACAAATGCATCCAATCACGGAATGCTGTTTTCCCAGAAGGGAAACTGGGGTGGAAAGGAGTTAAATGTATTTTATTGGGTTGGTTTTGATCAGTGTTTTTCAACCTTGGCAACTTTAAGATGGGTGGACTTCAACTCCCAGAATTCCCCAGCCAGCATCCTTTAACCCCATCCAAGGATATCACTGACTACACCCCTTGGAGATTAAAAAAAATGTTTTTTAGATGTAGCCCCCAGTTGCAAAAAAGTTCAGGATAAAAAAGCTAGTATTCGGGGGCCAAGAACTACATCAGCATCAATATTTGATCTTATGCTGGGACAGGACCAGAACAATGTGGGCGGAGCCAGAAAATGAATGTGTTTTAAGCTACTTTTCATCTTAGTCTAAAACCAGTGTTTCTCAACCTTGACACCTTTAAGATGGGTGGACTTCAAGTCCCAGAACTCCCCAGCCAGCATCTTAAAGTTGCCAAGGTTGAGAAACACTGCTCTAAGCTGGTCCCTCCCTCTCAATGCTGGCTGGGGAATTCTGGGAGTTGAAGTCCACCCATCTTAAAGTTGCCACGGTTGAGAAATACTGCTCTAAGCTGGTCCCTCCCTCTCAATGCTGGCTGGGGAATTCTGGGAGTTGAAGTCCACCCATCTTAAAGTTGCCACGGTTGAGAAATACTGCTCTAAGCTGGTCCCTCCCTCTCAATGCTGGCTGGGGAATTCTGGGAGTTGAAGTCCACCCATCTTAAAGTTGCCACGGTTGAGAAATACTGCTCTAAGCTGGTCCCTCCCTCTCAATGCGGGCTGGGGAATTCTGGGAATTGAAGTCCACCCATCTTAAAGTTGCCAAGGTTGAGAAACACGGCTCTAAGCTGATCCCTCCCTCTCAACCCCACGGTGGGGTAGGGGTGAAAATGCTCGACCAGGAGTGGAGAGACCAGGTTCTAGACCCCCTCAGGCCCAAAAGCTCCCTGGGGGCCTCTGGGCTGGTCCTTCTTGCTCAACCCAACCTCCTTCCCAAGGTTATTGTTGTGGGGAAGAAAAAGATGAAACATCTTTGGCTCCATCTTTCACAGGAGGGCAAGAAGGTTGCTGAAGAACTGTGGCTGGGCTGGAATCCACAGCTTGTCCACCTGCGTGGTAGAACCTGAGTTTGCCTTCCACCCAGAGAAGTCAATCTTCCTTGCATCTCTCTCTCTCTCTCTTTCCAGGGGATGAACCACAGCTGGCTGCTGGATGTAACCCTCCTTCTGGGCAGCTGGATCAGGTAGGGGAATAATCCTGATGGGAAAGAGAGCCTGGCATTCATCTCCCTGGATTTGGAAGAATTGTTGCCGGCTTTTTGCTGCTGTCAGATATATCCCTAAAGAAGGATATGTTTGAGGAGCACGGTCTCCTATTCTGCCCCACTGGCTCCTCAAGTCCCCTGTTGTTCTGGGAGTTGAAGTCCACCCATCTTAAAGTTGCCAAGGTTGAGAAATGCTGCTCTAAGCTGGTCCCTCCCTCTCAATGCTGGCTGGGGAATTCTGGGAGTTGAAGTCCACCCGTCTTAAAGTTGCTAGGAAATGTACTGCCTTAAATGTAAGAAGCCGACGTTTCCTGCTTTTTAGGTGTCGCTTGAGGAAGTATCTGTAACTTTTACAGAGGAGGAGTGGGCACTGCTGGATCCGGACCAAAGAGCTTTGCACAGGGATGTGATGGCAGAGAACAGTGGTATTGCCTCCTCCTTGGGTAAGTTTCCACTTAAAGGAAAGAAAAAACACAGAAAACAATACAGTTTATTCATTCATTTATTTATGTATTAAATTTATATGCCGCCCATCTCCCCCAGAGGGTGACTCTGGGTGGCTCATAGGTTAAAATCAAACAGTAAAAATATAAATATCCATCATAAATTCACTAACAAATAATACTATATAAAAGACTATATACATAAAAAGACTATAAAATTCAAGATGACCGCGCGGGGGGGGGGGGGGGGGCAGAATCAATTACTCCACCAGCCAAGGAAAACTCATAAATGTGTCTCTCCGTGGAAATCTTTAGTAAAAGACAAAAGATTTATACGATCTGAAGAGAAGCTAGAGTATAAGAAAGTTTAAGAAAGAAAAAAAAGATAATGAGAGAAGCGACTCCTGCCCTTCTTTACAGCAGTTACAAACAAACCCATTATTCCTCCTTCCTCCTTCGCATTACAAAACTCCCTTCAGACCCTTATTCAGTCCCCTTTCAGTCATCAAAACCAGAAATCAGCATTTCTCTTTTTTCCATGTCCAGCAAAAAGTCTGTAAAAGGTTTCCAGACTTTTATAAAAGTAATGTATTGTTTTATCCTTGACCAAACAGGTCAGTTTTGCCATCTCTGCTGACTCTGCCATCTTCACCCTCCGTTCCTCCATTGTGGGTATTTCAATAGTTCTCCATCTTTGTGCATATAATAATCTTGCTGCAGTTACCCTATATAAAATCAGTCTTCCATCAATCTTTTCAAATTGACTATCCATAAGTCCCAGTACGAAAAGTTCTGGTTTGATCTCAATATTAGTCTTCAAAACTCTTTGTATCATCATATGTATCTGTTTCCTTTTTTTTTTTTTTGCTTTTTCACAAGTCCACCACGCGTGGTACAATTTCATAACTTACCGGAAGTCTTTTCACTTTTCCCCCCTGCCAGGAAGTGATTGGCCAGAGAGCGAAAATGGAGAAATACATGGGGTATTGTTGGGAAAAATCGGAAGCGAAGAGGAGGACAAGCAGAGAGCAGAAGCTGAAGCCGGCAGAATGAAGGACGAACCTTCAGGTTCTTACGACACTGAATTTTACGAGCTTCCGGTCCGCGAAAAAATAGAAGACGGGATCGAGTGGAGCCAATGCCTTCTGTGTGGAAAAGCCTTCGACTGCCAGTCGAGCCTGATCGCTCACTGGGAGAGCCACACGACCAAGAAGCCATATAAATGCCTGGAGTGCGGGAAGAGCTTCAGCACGAGGCAGTACCTCGGTTGCCACCAGCGAGTTCACACCGGGGAGAAGCCGTTCAAATGCACCAAATGTGGGAAGAGCTTCAGCACGAGGCAATATCTCGCCTGTCACCAGAGGATCCACACCGGGGAGAAACCCTTCAAGTGTCTGGAGTGTGGGGAGACCTTCTGCTGGGCTAACTCTCTCACTTTACACCAGATCATTCATACAGGAGAGAAGCCATTTAAATGCTTGGTGTGCGGGAAAAGCTTCAGTCGAAGCACCAGCCTTTCTTCACACCAGAGAATACACACAGGGGAGAAGCCATATAAGTGCTTAGAGTGTGGAAAGAGGTTCATCCACAACACTAGCCTCACTTACCATCGGCAGCATCACACGGGAGTGAAACCCTACAAATGCCCTGAGTGTGGAAAGAGGTTCAGTCACAGGACGAGCCTGACCTACCACCAACGGAGTCACACCGGAGTGAAACCACATTCCTGTTTGGAGTGCGGAAAGAATTTCAGCACTCGTCAGTACCTCACTTCCCACCAGCGGATCCACACAGGAGAGAAACCGTACAAATGCGCCGAGTGCGGGAAGAAATTTGTCCACAGCACGAGCCTCAGCTACCATCAGCGCCTTCACCGAGGGGAGGAACCGTTTCAGTGTTTGGAGTGTGGGAAAAGTTTCATTACGAGACAGTGTCTCACCTCGCATCGAAGAATCCACACGGGGGAAGAACCCTTTAAATGCCTGGAGTGCGGAAAGAGCTTCCGAAGACGCACGAGCCTTATTTCCCATCAAAGTATCCACATGGGAGAGAAGCCGTATAAATGCCTGGAGTGCGGAAAGAGCTTCACCACTAGCAAATACATCATTTCCCATCAGAGAATCCACACCGGAGAGAAACCTTACAAATGTTTGGAGTGTGGGCAGACCTTCTGTTGGGCTAACTCCCTGACCTTACATCAGATCACTCACACGGGAGAGAAACCCTTTAAATGCTTGGAGTGTGGAAAAAGCTTCAGCAGAAGCACCAGCCTTACCTCGCATCAGAGGATCCACACGGGGGAGAAGCCGTATAAATGTTTAGTGTGCGGAAAGAACTTCAGCACAAACAGATACCTCACGTGCCATCAACGGATTCATATTGTGGATAAAGCTTTTAAATGCCTGGTGTGTGGGAAGAGCTTTAGCACTAGCAAATACCTCAGCTGCCATCAAAGAATCCACACCGGGGAGAAGCCATTTAAATGCCTGGAGTGTGGGAAGAGCTTCTGTTGGGCGTATTCCCTTACTTTACATCAAAGAATCCACACAGGAGAAGATGCATTTAAATGCTAGGAGTATGAAAGTGACTCTGGTTTTTTTGGGGGGGGGTGGAAGGATGAGGGAGCCCTTATTGTAGAAGAATTTAAGGGAGAAACCGTAGAAATCACTGTGGAAAGACATTCGTGCGGAACACAGACTTCATTTCTTTGCGTTAGATATAAATTTATTTATATGTATGCTTTATACTGTTGGTGTGTTGGCCGATTGTTGCTGTCCAGTGTTTCAGACGGCTTCCTTTTCAGCCCCGCTTTGAGGGACTGGGAGCTGGACTTGAACCGTCAGTACGCTCCACATCTAAGCAATCGTTGTACCCTAATTTGAATTCTTGGGGTGAGAAGGAAAGAACTGCAGTCTGTGCACAGATCTCACCTCTCAGCGAAGACCGGGGACACGAGAGGATCCGTAGAAACGCCTGGAGTTTTGCAGAAGTCCTTCAGCTGGAGCTGAAGATGTCAAGGAACCCATATCGTAGATTTGCAAGGAATATAGGATGTTCATCCGCAGTAGACCAATGGAGGCCCATGTGAGTTCCTATAACATTGAGTTTCTAAAGGTTGGGAGCTCTAGGGGTCTAAGGATAGCTCATCCTAATCTACGTTGTCTGACATGTTCCTGTCAGACAGAGATCTCAGGCCACTTCTGGCCCTTCCTGCTCCACCTCCGCCAGACCCTTGGCCACTGAGTCTCCCTCAACGTACTAGCCAGAATGCTTGACTCCAGTTCTTGCACAGAGGGTCTCTAGCATCACCCAGTCTTCCAAACGCAGGGCTTTCAAGAAGACAGGCATGGCTGCAATAGTGACCATCCAGGAGATGCCAACAGAAGCAGAGTGCGAGACATGGGCACGTGGACCCTCTTTCTCTAGCAAATGCAGCGACATTTGAGATTGCTGGAGTGAGGGGGGAGGCTTTGTGTGTGTGGCCCCCAATCCATTTGCTGTATTTATTTACTAGGGTTATATCCTGCCCTTGCTCCTGGAGCTCCGTTTGGGAATCTCCCTTCATTTTATCCCCCCAGCAAGATCCTGCAAGGTGACCAGCTCAAAATCAGCCACAGGGTTTCCAGGATGGAAGGTGGATTTGAACTCAGGTCTCTCTCTCCTGGTCTAAATCCTGTAATTGCTGTATTGTCATAGGAATCCACCGGGCCGGGGGTGGGGGGTGGGGGACACCTGTTGCAGTGTCACGGTGTAAAGTCCAACCCTGACGTACTTGTGAGTGGCCTCAGCATACAGGTACCCAAGAGGAGGTCTTTGGTGTGATGTCAGGCTCCCGTTTTGTCATCCTGATAAGGAACAGACTCATGCAAATCAGGGGGGCTCTTCAGTGCTAAACATCAAGAAATGGGGCCACAGCTTGGGGCACTCTCCTAGAGCAGTGGTTGGCAGCTAATGAGGCTCCTTCCTGCCCACCCACTGCAGCTCCTCACACCCCCAAAGCCCATCTCAGCCAAACGGCCATATTCAGCAGCACAATTTTACTTCTTCCTTGGTGATCTAAAGCTTGAAAATCTGGTCCCGCTTGGCTGAGCTTGCCTGGGCTCAAAGGCTAAGCGGGCCTGGATCAGGGGAGTGTTAGGATGGGAGATGACCAGGGGATCTCGGGCAATAGGCCAGATGAGAAAGTCAAAAAACATCTCCAAGGAAAGGAGTGGCAAACCACTTCCAAAGAAAATTCCACGTGAGGAGTCAAGTTCAGTTCTAGGGCTTTGCCCTTTTTAGGGGGTACATCACGTCTCCCTGCGAGTTTTAATGCACCTGCTTTATATTTCCAAGGAAAGCCCCCATTTGCAAAATAAACGAGAAGGGAAACCTGCAGGGTTGGGCTTCTGGAATCCATTCCGATCCCTTAATAAGAGCTCTGCTCTGGGTCACATGACCAGGAGATGCTCTGGGTCACATGGCCAGGAGTGGGGGTTAGAATGGAGGAATCGGCAGCCTTCGGAGCCTCTGCCCTCTCATAAGGATGCCTTGAGGAAGTTTTTCTGGATTTTTTTCCTCTGCAGTCCCTAGACAGATCCACCTCATTTTCAAGCTCATTATTTCTTTTCCCAGTTTCTTCCTCCCAACACCAAATTTGGTCCCGTTCCATGTTAGAATTATCCTGCTGATGGATCCCAGGACAGAACCCTGAATCCCTAAATTTCTTTCCAATATTCCATCAGGTTAGAAAGAAAAACAAGGACTGAAAGTTTTGGATCCCTGAAGCTTTCAGAGACTTAAAATAATGGGGAGAGTAGGGACATCTGCAAGGGGGATCAAAAAAATCAAGACAGCAGCTATGAAAATGTGATTGAAGCCTTTTACAGGGAGTCCTCACTTAATGACCATTCGTTTGTTCGACTGTTCGAAGTTACAACAGTGCTGAACAAAGGGACTTACAACCATCACAGCACCCCCATGGTCATGTGATCCAATCCAGGCACTTGGCAACCAGGTCACACGATGGTTGCAGTATCCCAGGGTCATGTGATCGCCATTTGTGACCTTCCCAGCTGGCAGGGCTTTGACTGAATGGTTGTGGCTGCCATCTTGATTTTTTTAACATTCCCCTATCCCACCCTGCACTCAGTCCTGGGTAGGGTTGGTCATTGACACTCTTTGGAGCAATGAAAACACTTCACAAGAATTACCAAGATAATTTTTCATACTGGCTGTGCCCATCCTTTACCGCCTTGATCCCAGAGCAGTGACATCGGGTGACACCTCCCTAACCCTTGCCAGATGTGATTTCCTTGTTTTTAATTTCCCGAAAAATGATATGTGAAGTTTGTGTGGTTGCAAGAAAGAACATACCAGCGTCCAGCATTATCTTTATTTTCAGAAACGCCTCTGGGCCCCCTGTAAACACCAGCGGTCCCCTTCAGAAATGCAAATGGAACATGGCTGCAGGCCAGGCCTTTGGAAGTGATGGAGATCCTTGGACCGATGTTTGGTGACTGGGAACTGCTTGGGCAGGCGTCCCCAACACATTACCACAATTCCAAAACGTGACTGCTAGACCCTGAAAGATTACCAATCCCCGATTTAGTCTCCTTGGATCTAGCCCTCCTCACTCACATCCTCCTCCTCCAGGCTGGCCTTGAAAAGGAATTCCAGTTGCCTAACCAATGACTCGAGCAGGCGGAATGGAGAATCCTCTCTGGATTTTTTCTCGGCTGCATTTCCCACCTGTCGTTCTGGGCTGCATTCTGTGTGGGGACCTGGGCCATTAACAACATAGACAGTTTGGGAGCACACACACCCCCTTTGCTTCTATGAGACTTGGGGGTCACAGGTGGATCCAAGCGGCAGGGCCTTTTCAGTGGTGGCAGCGAGACAACTGTCTGCCTGAAGTTGCATCGTTTGGGAAAGTTGCATCCTTTGAGAAACTGCAAAAAGGAGCTTTTTCTGGTGTGTCTCTTCCTCTGCTGCTGCCACCTCCTTGGCAGCTCTTGGGCCGTGCTGCTGCTCTGGTTTTAGCTCTCTTCCTTTGTAAGGATGTGCAAAGCGTTCTGTGCACAAACCATCTTGTGCGTGGAGGTTTTCGAGTGGGCCATGCCTGAATCAAAGCACAGCTGTTCTGGGTGTATTGATCTGTGCACATCTGGAATGACAGGGCCATTTCGTCCCTCTATGGATGGGACCGGTCCAGATAGAAGTGGTGGAGTGGGGAGGACGCTGGTGACTTGGGGAGATGGGGAAGGAAGGAGGACGGACAGCGGGATACGTCACACGGTGGCAGTGGAAGGGAAGGAAGGAAAGACATTGCAGGCGGGAGCTGGTGGAATTCGTCATGTAGAGAAGGAGCAACGGGCATTAGACATGCCCAACTTGTCCGGATTTTGTTTTGCCCCAAACAAAACAGCCGAAGCGTTCCAGGTTTTGTTACTGCTGGACTGTGACTGATCCGAAAGGGTTTGGCAGAACTTCCGAAACATGATGGCTGGTTCTGGGTTCGAAAGAAACTCTTTTTCCTGTCTCGGGCCCACCCCTATGTTGTTGATGGCTTTGGATAGATGTGTAGAGGGGTGGGATTAATGAAAAAAGTAGAATAGTAATCCTGTGTAAAGCAACTTCTTCCCTGTGGTAGAAACCCACTCAGGTGAGGCACCGTGAATTGGAGAAAAGAGGCGTCGTGAATCTGTTCGAAGACCAACTGGTGGACTGGCAGCCTGAACTGGGCTCAGTGTTTGAGGTGCCTTCGGAAAAAGAGGCTCTTCTGAACGGCTGGGCCTCGTTGCCGAGAATTCAACTTTCGTTCTAGAGCCATATCCTGCTTTTTCACAGTGTTTCTTGTTTAAACAGTGCCGCTCTGCATGTTTTTACAGAAATCCAGTGAGTTATATGCAACTTTCGCTCTGTGTGTTTGGTCATTTTTCATTTTCTCTGTAATTTCATTTTTGTATCCCTTCTTGGATAGTTACTGGTTAATCTCCTGTACTAAAAGCATGGAATCATGGATGGGTATTTGAGTGTGAGTTTTTGGGGGAGGCGTACGAAAGGCGAGTCGTGCGTGAGCTTCTACAGTGGGAGGGGGGCATCACACGTGTCATGATGTCGTTCTGCCATGAGGTCATGTATGGCGTGGCTGACCTCATAGCAGCTGATACTGGATGCCTCTAGAACAGTGTTTCTCAACCTTGGCAACTTGAAGATGTGTGGACTTCTTCATGTGTCCACACATCTTCAAGTTGCCACGGTTGAGAAACACTGCCCTAGCTATACCATTGGACCCAAGCAGCCTTTGTGTGAGGTTTCCTTCCTAGGAAACCCTGGCCAAGTTCCCATGACCCATGAAGCCATGGCTTATTCAGTTGTGGTTTGAATGACTGGTTGAATGAATCGCCACGGGCTGGAGTCACCCAGCATGATAAGCCATAAACATGATTTATAAACCATAAGTGTCTGAGTTCATACAGCCCACAGACTCATAAACAAGACAAACCATGATGTGTGAATCTGGCCAGCAAGTTCAGGAGGAATGAAGCCAAGATACTGAAGCCAGAGCTGGAAAGAGTTTTAAAAACCATGTTTGGGCATCTTTATTCTTCTTTCAAACAAAGCATCTTGCATCTGGGAAACCTCAGAAAGAGAATTTCTATGTCCTGTCTTTCTTCCAGGACGTTAAGGTGGTATACATAACATTCTCTTCTCCGTTTTTTTTTTCCCCTGCCACAACCACCCTGTGAGGTAGGTTAAGCTGAAAGATCATGAAAGCCCAGACTCATCGCCAAAGCTGAGTGAACTTGATCTTTGGACTTCTGAAAAGGTTGTTACCTCAACCTTGACACTGGGTTTGCACTTCAGGCTTAAGCCCTACTTAGCCATGGTTTATTGAACAAACCATGGTTTGGTTTAGGGCTGCAAACTAATCCTCAACTTATGACCATTCATTTAATGATCGTTTGAAGTTACAACAGTACCGAAAAAAGTGATGACCAGCCCTCGCATTTAGGACCGTCGCAATATCCTTGTGTTCACGTGATCAAAATTCAGGTGCTTGGCAACCGGCATGTATTTATAACAGTTGCAGAGTCCTGGGTCACTTGATTGCCATTTGTGACCTTCCTAGGGGGCTTCCAACAAGCAAAGTCAATGGGGGAAGCTGGATTTGCTTAACGACCACAGTGTTTTGCTTAACGACCATGGCAAAAAAGGTCAAAAAATTGGGCATGACTCATTTAATGACCACATTGCTTAGTGACAGAAGTTCCAGTCCCAATTGTGGTCATAAGTCGAGGACTATCTGTATGCTTTTGGCAAGCTCATTGTAACTGACTTAACAGAGTGTGTGAATGGGAATGTATGTACAGCTTCTTTATGATTTCCTTGCTTGTTTTTTCTAAGCATCTAACTATTCTTGGGCATCTGCAAGGCAGACTCGACAGCATCAGGATGGCATGCACGGGTTAGGGTTGTTGGCATGTTAAAAAGCAGTGGGGTGTCAATAACCAGGTTGAGCCTGTCATCTCAATGCCGTTGACCTCACCAAATAGATACCCTGCCTCCAGTGAAGTGGAGTAACCGTTAAAAGGGAAAGAGAACAAAGCAGAACCTGGTCCTAATCCAGGAGCAACTCCTGTGAACTTTGCTTGCCTAGCTGGTTTGGGGTTTAACAAATGATAGTTAAAACAAACCATAGTTTGGTGGATGAAGACAAGACAATATGCTAATGGGGCTTTGTATGTATCAAGGCTGATTTTCAAGTCCTTGAAGTATAACTTTTATGGGCAATTAACCAGAGTTAAATGTGTCAGAAGAGAATTCCCCCTCCCCAGTTAAATACATCTCCTTTAAAGACCAGGGGAATTCAAATTATTATGTGTGACAAACATAACAGCAGGCAGAGGTTGAATCGCCCATCGTGGTCACTATCTTGACTTTTCTTTTTACTATACCCTGCAGACATTCCTGTAAACAAAAATGAAGGAAAATAAAAAACTAAAATATTTGGGACTTGAGCTTGCCAAAAAAGACAAATTAAGGAAGGGAAACAGCCAGGGAAAAATATTTTCCCGCCTCTCTTAAAACACTAGGACCAGGAGTGATCCAAAGCAGCTGCTTGGAAGCAGATTTAAAACAGACAAAAGAAAGGGAGGGGGGCATTTAGGCAGGGCAAAATTAGCCTGTGGGATTCATTGCCACCAGATGTGGCAGCCACTAACTTGGATTGCTTGAAAAGGGGATCAGAGAAGTTCACGGAGGAAAATCTATCAAGAGCGATTGGTCTGGAGGAGTCAAGGCTGCCTCTGAGTCAGAGGCAATGTAGCTCCAAATATCAATTGCAAACAGAAGTACCTGGTTAGCCCTGTTTCTCAGCCTTGACAACTTTAAGATGGGTGGACTTCAACTCCCACAATTCCCCAGCCAGCAAGGTTGAGAAACACTGGGTTAGCCTCATTTTTTGGTGAATAACAGAGTGAACCGTGGCCTGGTCTAGTAGGCCCATTCTGTAGAGGAACTGACACATTCTTATAATTAAAAAAGTCACATTATGTATTTATTAAATGTATAGAGCCGACCATCTCGCATGTGTGACTCTGGGCGGCGCACACAAAATAACAAAAATGATAACCACCAATTAAAATAAAACCCTTAAAAGAATTAGCCGAGAAGTGGAGACCTCTGATACAACTTGGCTGAGATCTCAGAGCTGAAATGTGGAATCACCAGCTCTGATGCTTTCTTCTTATTTAAAAGGCTTAATGATCAACACTGAGTTCCATTTCTATTATTCATACTTTAAACATATAGTCCTGTTTTCTGTGCTGGACTTGTCTTGTAAGAACCTGGAGTGCCGACCAAGAACAAATCTGACTTTTGATTGATTTAAGTTTGCAACACAAGAATTCCGGCAAGGGCTCTACTGCCAGATGAGAACCCTATATATAGACAAGCGAAAGCAGGAAGACTGGTCTGTTTCCTTGCACTGTTGAAGACACTGTTCTCTCTGTGAAGACAGTGCAGGCTGTACCTGTTGATCATTTCAGAAACAGCTAACAGAGAGTTTTTATCAATGTAGAAGCCAAAGGCGTCGATAAGATCCAAGAGGTTTACAGCTAGTCCTTGCTTACTCTCATTTAATGACCGTTCCAAGTTATGACGGTTGGGAAAAAACAGCTTTGTGACCAATCCTCACATTTATAGCCATCGCAGCATCCCGTGGTCACGTGATCGCCATTTGGGCTCTTCACAGCCAGCTTCCTACTAATAGTGTCAATGGAGAAGCTGGCAGTAAAATTGCAAATCACGGTCACGTGATGCTTTGCTTAATAACTGCAGCAAAAGTGGCACAGTCATGTGACTTTTCACTTAGTGACTGCAGTATTATCTATGTAAAATCTTTTAATAAAAAAATATTTAAAAAACAAAAGAGGCAGAGCTTGGTCACAAGGGCGCAACACTTTCATCATTTGATCCCATGCCCTTTTGGACCCCTCTGGAGTCAGCGGTTGCATTCTAGAACACGGTGGGGCTTATTCACAAGCCATGTGTAGTGAACAAGGAAGACATCCTTGTTGGAAATAGGCACGACCGTGATCCATCCCAAAGGGGCTGTAAATGAGATAACATTTGGGAGCGGCTCCAGCAGACGCCTCCCTGATTCACTGGCGCATGAGGAGGAGGAGGAGCAGCACAATCAGACCTGCAAGATTCTGCCATTAAGCCAATCTCAATAAAAGTAGTTTCAGCCTTCCTCTGGAGTGGATTTCCTGGTCTGCTCTACCTAGTAGGGCTGACGCAACATGTGGCTGTCCAAAGCTCTTCCTTGCACCCTTTTTCCCATAAGACAACCCCGTCCCTGTAGGGCCCTTAAGTCTGGGGTCTAAAACGAATTACTGGACATAAAATGCAGTAGGTATAAAGCCGTTTGCAGAGGAAGCGATGAATAACATTGCATCAGAAGGCAAACTCCACTTCTTATATACATTGCAATGCAAGAACAAAGCGGCAGAGTTTCCATTATGACGTCATAATGCCTGTTTGTCACATGGATTCTGGCGCTGACAGTGGGGAGACTGAAATGGTTAACTACCTATAAGGACCCTACCACCCCAATTTTATTGCCACAGATTTAAAAGCTGTTCAAAATCGTAAATCCGCAACAGCTCACCCTACTACAAGTTCCTTGTTGGACTACCAAAAAAAATAATAATTCCTCGGACTGAAACCTGAAGACTCCCCGCCCAGCACTAAAGGAAGTGCAGAAATCTCAAAACGTAGCAGTCAAGGCACAGCACGCATGGAAGCAGGCCCTTTAGTCAATCGAGGCTTGATCACGTCGGTGGTTTATTTATTTCTTGAAAACTTTTACATTTACTCAGCAATTTTGTGTTACTTGAAAGGCTTCTAGGAAAAGGTTACAAACTAATGATGCTCCCCCCCCCCACAAAATCCTTGCCCTCAAGCTTCCAGTCCCAAAAAAGACGACTTCAGAGGAAAGAGGGACGGAGAGGGAAGAGAATCATCCTGGATCAGGGTTTCTCAACCTTGGCAGCTTTAAGACATGTGGACTTCAACTCCCAGAATTCCCCAGCCAGCATATAGGGAATATAGCCATAATGCTGGCTAGGGAATTCTGGGAGTTGAAGTCCACACGTCTTAAAGCTGCCAAGGTTGAGAAACCCGGTCCTGGGTTATGAGTTCGTACAAGCTGTAATCCCTTGATGTCCTGTACTGAATTACAAACGAGCTAGCCAGGGTGCCTGGGTTTTTAAAACAGTCATTTGTAAACAAGGACTTCCATGAACTAAGTCCTTAGATCAAGTTAACCTAAGAAACATACCACGTTCACTGCGATTTAGTGCAAGGTGGCCAATCTGCAGCCAAAGGCAAGGCGCACCCCAAATACTTTGGGGTGTCCCAAGGCCGTACAAATGCAATAATTATTAGAAATGGGAGTAGCTGTTTTTCAAGCACCGGCTCAAATTGTTCACTACATCGGAGACAGTCCAGATAGAGTATTCCTTAGGGCAGGTGTATGGAGAGGAGGTCAAAAAAGTCAAGATGGTGGCAAAGGCCAGATTGCAAGGTCACGGTGGCCATCTCGACTTTTTTGACCACCCTACCACAGAGGGTGCCATGATCAAGAAGATGCAACAGTATCTGGTAGAGGCCCAACTGGTGTTCAAATTCACAAAAAGGTGACATTATCCGTTGCTTCTTCAGGTGGACTAATCCAGATTACCTCCCAACAAACTTTCCAATTCTTTATTTTATTTTCCTTTTCTTTTCTGATGCTTTCCATATTTCTACAGTGGCTAAAGGGCCTATGTGCTTTAATTAAAATATCCAATTTATATACTATATCTACTAACCATGCTGTATTTTATATCTGATAATACAGATATAAAACCTCCTTCTTTATGTTTATTTCAATAATTTCTGCCCCAGAAATCAAATCACAGTTGAATAGGTGTGCATGTAAAATTCAACAGGCAGGTTTAATGTAAATCATTTTCTTAAATGTAGCTTTGCTCCTTTATTTATTTATTTATTTATTTATTTATTTAATTAATTAATTAATTAGTTAATTAATTTATATGCCGCCCATCTCCCCCAGAGGGTGATGATCACTTCTGTGTTAATGTGAACTGCCTTAAATCCTATTTTTATTTCAAAGTGAAGACATACTTTTCCTTATTTTTACACCCTGGTTCTCCCATTCTAATGATTTAGTAAAAAGATTTACAAAGCATTAAATTAAAAACTGAGCACCTCTGAAATACTTGTGATGAGAAAGCACCCGAACCAGTGGAGAATAACACAGCTAACAGGAATACTCCCTAGTGGGCTATCAATATTTCAAATATTTTGTTTAGTCCAGAAGAGGTTCTTCCTCCTCCAGCTACTTCTATCAACCTGGTTAGAAAACCTCTAGTCTATTTATCTAACATTTTAAAAATATTTCAAATGTCACTGAAAGATCTTTCTTGGTCCTAAACACTTAGAGAATCCACTCCAATGTGGATTTTTTGATGTGAAATAAGCAGGGCTGTCTATGGTGTGTGTGCGCACTCATGCATGTCCATGTGTAATTGAGACTGCCATCTTGACATCATCCCTTTGTACAGGGATTTGTATGTAAGTGTTTTGTTGGAAGAGAAGCTCCTGTGATATGGGCAGCATTGATCTTCTGGGTGGATTCTCTGATACCTAGCAGAGTCCTACTTTTTCCGGAAGCTCTTTCCATACTTCCATGCCTTCATACGATCTCTGCCCCGTGTGGCTCCTTTGATGCAAAGTTAGATTTGCCTGACTCGAGTAAACCTTTCCACACTCCAAGCATTTATACGGTTGATCCCCTGTGTGAATTCTCTGGTGGGAAGTCAGGGTGGTGATGAAGTGGAAGCTCTTGCCACACTCTAAGCATTTATAGGGTTTCTCCCCTATATGAACCCTTTGATGATCGTTACGGTCCCCAATCCTCCAGAAACTTTTTTCACATTCCAGACATTTATACGGTTTCTCACCTCGGTGGATTTTTTGATGCGAAGCTAGACTCCCGCTGCTCGAGTAGTTCTTCCCACACTCCAAGCATTTATATGGCTGTTCTTCGGTATGAAATTTCTGATGATCCTTAAGGTTAATTCTGCGACGAAACTTCATCCCACAGTCAACACACTTATATGGCATCTCTCCCGTATGGATTCTTTGATGGACTGTCAGGTCCCCGTTTTTCCTGAATCCCTTCCCACATTCCAGGCATATACACGGTTTTTCCCCTGTATGGATTCTCTGATGTACAATCAAGTTTGTTCTTCTGGAGTAGCTCTTTCCACACTCCAAGCATTTATATGGTTGCTCCCCTGTGTGAATCCGTTGATGCGCAGTAAGGTTTGTTCTTCTGGAATAGCTCTTCCCACACTCCAAGCATTTGTATGGTTGGTCTCCTAAGTGAGTTCTTAGGTGGGAATTCAAGCTGGCCCTCAGTCCAAAACTCATTCCACACTCAGAGCATTGGTAAGGTTTCTCTCCTGCGTGAATTCTTTGATGTCTGTTAAAATCCCCATTTTTCAGAAAGCCCTTTCCACATTCCAAACATTGATATGGTTTCCCCCCTCTGTGCATTTTCTGATGTGTCACTAGGCTTCCCTTAGTACAGTAATTCTTTCCACACTCTGGGCATTTATACGGTTGTTCCCCTGTATGAAATCTCTGGTGATTTCGAAGATTAATCACGTAACGAAATTTCATGCCACATTCCAAGCATGAATACGGCGTCTCCCCGGAGTGAATCCTTTGATGCCTGACAAGGTTCCAGTTCCTCCGGAAACTCTTTCCACACTCCAAGCAATGATACGGTTTCTCCCCCGTATGAATCCTCTGATGGGCAATCAGGTTCGTTCTTCGAGAATACCTCTTCCCGCACTCCAGGCATTTATATGGCTTCTCGCCTGTATGAAGTCTCTGATGTACCGTAAGACTGGTTCTTCGAGAGTAGTTCTTCCCACACTCCAGACATTTATAGGGTTGTTCCCCCGTGTGAATCCTTTGATGAGCAATCAGGTTTGTCCTTCTGGAATAGTTCTTCCCACACTCCAAGCATTTATACGGTTGCTCGCCCGTGTGAGTCCTTTGGTGGGAAATCAGGCTTGTCCTAAGCCCAAAGCTCTTCCCGCACTCTAAACAATGATACGGTTTTTCCCCTGTGTGAATCCTTCGATGTCGGGTGAGGTCCCCTTTTTTCAAGAAGCTCTTTCCACATTCCAGACATTTACATGATTTCTCTCCTGGACGTATCTTGGGTTGAGAACTTAAATTCCCACCAAGGATATTCTGATGGTGATAATACATACCGCAGTACAAACACATATATGTCTTCTCCCCTGCATAGGCTCTTTGGGGTTCAGTGACATTCACATTTTTTCGGAAGCTCTTTCCACACCGCAAGCAATTAAAAGGCCTCATCCCTGTGTGAATTCTTTGATGTACGGTAAGGACTCCCTTCTTACTAAAACTCTTCCCACACTCAAAACATTTATAGGGCTTCCCATCCATACTGATTCTCTGATTGGCGGTGAAGTTTGTGCTCTGAGTGGAACTCTGTGTACGCGGTACAACTTTAAATAATTTCTCCTTTGTTTGCACCAGGGCTTCCTGGAAGCGATTATGCTGAACCGTCACGGATCTATTCCTTCTCCATTCTTCTTCCTCTTTGCACCTGGATCTATTCAAGGATACCTCAAATGATCCTGGCTTCCTCTCCTCCTTCATGATTCTGATAGTCCCATCACCTGCTAGAAAAGTGAAAGAGAAGATTGGAGTTGGAATCCAGGGAAGATATGGAGCCAGACATCAAGGAATAAAAATAGGTAGCTAGCGTTGTCTGAGAAGATACAATCTTCTGCTTCATATATTTGTGCTTTAAGCAGTCACAAAACTGGGTACAGAAGGACTGTGCCAAATATTTAATATTTGACTGCCCTCAAATTTATTATCTTGCTAACGGTCAGTTTAGTAACAAATTGTAATGCTTTCCAGTAACAATTTCTCAAGATAGTTTATAATAACCATAACAACTATAAACATGAATACAAATTCACCTATAACCTAAACACATGTGCACAGCAGCTTGGCTGCAAAGAAAATGAACTAAACCATTACTTGTCCCACATGCAGGACCAGCGGATGGTTTGGGACACATTAAGTGCTCAGATATGGAGCATGTTTGCAGTGATAACTTCATTTGCTACTTTGCTCATCAGAGAAATAAGTAAAATATCTCATATACTGCCTCCAAAGATGGGAACAGGCCTCAGCATCCAACTTGGAAGCCATCTAATGCTGCCTGGCCATAGTCCAGCAGGTGGAATCTGAAAGTTTTGTCATTTGTTTCCTCCCCGGGTGGACACCTATGAGCTGAGACAACCACAACAGACCCTTTATGAGCCTTCCATTCTGGGAGAGGAGAAAGTAGGGTGTTGACTGCAAGCAATGAAATGTTGATTTCATTTATTGACTTTTCCAAAGTGGTATGATCCTGTAGAGGAAAGAGGGAATGGCCTTGAGGGGCAGGAAGAAGAGCTGCTACCAAGACAACGGTGAGATAAAAGAGGCCAGAGTCCAAGGCAGAAGTGTAACCTGAGAAAATGTCTCAGACAAGCCCCTCCTTAGTTCTCACAAAGATAAAAGGAAGGAGAGGGGAAGCACATTCAGACTCGCAAGTTTCTGTTGTCAGGTTCAGCTGGCACTGCACGCCTAGGAACTTGCCCAGCCGCGCTTTAGTCAATTTCACCGCTCGAGCGCCAGCGCAGAGAGAGGAAATGAGAAACCGCAAGCTAATGAATGGGCCCCCTGACGCCACTTCACTAATCTGGAGCGGATGCGTTGTGTTAACGCCAGAGGGCCGCGGGCGCTAT